AGGACAGAGGATCCCCAAATCATAACAAACAAGTATTTTTCATGTTAAAGCTTACTAATTAGTAACCAGGCATTAATAATTCTCACAATACAATTAAAGCCCCAGATGAAATATTGAAAGAACACTCTTGCTTATGGTTACCAAAATTATTTCTGTATAAAGTAAATATGTTTTCTGTCTTTTAATCATATATTTAAGTAACTGTATCTTTGGGGTTTTACTTTCTGTTGTTAATGCTGACTTACCTAATACTTTTATCACATTTTCCTTTTCTCCCCAATCCTAATCTGTAAGATTTTAGCTATGTTTACGTATCAATAACTTTGCTATTTTAATTAATTCAATTATAATAGTTTTTATTTCTGTTACCCAAGTTAAATTACTGTTACATGTAAACCTGGGAAGATATTTAAGATTTTGAGTTTTAGCACGAAATATCATTACAAGGATTTTTCTGACATTTAGTTATACCATAATTGAGGTTTGTTGCAAATTAACCTTTCAGTTAATTTTATATCTTCTGTATTTTTAGCTGTAGTTTAAGATATCTAACAGCATATAAATCTTCACACCCTGTATATATGTGAAGACTAATGTTTATAACTTTTAAGTTTGTATTCCTTTATTTTTAATCTCTATGCTATAAATACAGACCTTATACATAAATCTTTAAGTTAACGTTTCTATCTAGTGTACTATAGCACTTGTTTTCTGAAACCCAACTTACATGCATTAATCTAAAAGCATGTCACTAAATATCATCAAGTTGAAAAATAACGCATTAATCACCATAAAGTACGTAATGACCAGATTTTACATAAAGTTGAAAAACAAAACCTTTCCCAGATTAAATAAATGTTAGTGTATTCCAAAATTCTTTGTTTAATAAGAGATCTTGAAATTTCTATGACAGATGTAAAATAATTATGCATTTTGACATACATTAAAATTTTTAAGTAAAAATAAAAGCATTAAAATACCTTTTGCATCTGTTGGTAAAGCAAAGCCAGAACTTGCCGCTCTTATTCTTGCTTTTAAAAGTCAGTGTAGGAGCTTGTTCATCTGTGACCTTAACGGCAACTGCATCTTTGTTTTGGGCCGCTGAGTCCAGGCTGTGATAAGGAACTTCTTTTTCTTCTTACCACACTAATCAATTGAATTTGACAAGCCACCTATGTAATTTTAAGTAGTGGAGTGGAAGTTCTGGTCTGCGGGCTGTCTTTAATCCAGCAGAGAAAGCGCTGTGGCTTTGCTCTGTCTGCCACATGGAGAAACGCTGAAACCAGCTGCAGCTGACCAGGCTGTATACACAGTGCCCTTGAATAGTGATTCCCTCTTTCTCAGCAGACTCAAGTTCAGCCCACATCTTACGTCACCAAAAAATTGCTGGAGACTGGGGGCGTGGGGAAGTCTCCTCCCTAGGATTTCCTCTCTGTGGCCTTAACACGGGGGTGCGGGGAGTGGGACCAGCGGGAGATGAATAGCTCCGAACAAGGAGAGACTGTGCAGGTTGAAGGAAGGGCACCATCTGGAAACAAACTATCCTAGTTCAGCGGGCAATCATAAAACAAACATTGTAGTCTGCTGGCCAGAGGTCTTTTAAGCTAAATACTGAAAAAGCACAGTACTCCACTTCACTTAGAAGTAGCTGCAGGCTGATGAGTTTGTCTTTTGTTACAAAGAACAAGTCGCACTGGGTCAGGAGGCAGCCACCTAAAGAATGTAATGGTCTTTATAGCCTAAAAGGTTTAAACATTTCACTGAATTGCCATTTTAGAAGATTTTAAACATTATCGGAAACCTAATGTTGTTGTAATATGTTTATCATTACCAAAAATAAGTGGAAACCTATGTGTAAAATTATTTCAGAAATGTAACATTTTTAAACCTAAACTCTGATGCTACATGTCACTTCCTTCTGTTCTTTCTAACAACATAGCACCTCTTGTCTGAATAAGGTTATTCTTATGGTTGACAGGATATAAATGCAAGCATAATTCTGACCTGAGGGGCGGGGGTTCTCTCTCTCTCTCTCTCTCTCTCTCTCACACACACACACACACACACACACACACACACACACACACACGCATACACATGCACACACATGCACACATACACATATGCACACACTCACTGTAAACTTGGACAAGTCACTTTTACCAACCTATGGCCCAGTTCTTCTGCTATGAAATTAGGGTGCTGGAGAGAGAAGTTGTTGAGTGCTATAACTATGCTAACAAATTTCATTAAATCAGGAAATGCGATTCAGTAACTCAATAGCTGGGGAAACACAAATTTAGGCATCTTAATTGATTTGGCTTAGTACTTCAACACTAAGTGGTAGACTGGGGGATTAAACCCTAACTCCGAAGCATTATGCCACTCTCTCCCTGGAGTATACAGTTGCTGGTTGCTGCTGCTAGATAATACCTTTGGGCTTCCACTTTCTAGACACACCATGTGCTTTCCCCTCCATGTTGGTGTATTTTATCTCTCTGATACTCTACCATCAACTGTTGATCCATATATACTTGTTTAAAATGAGCTAAGTTTCTGCCTCTTTTGCAGAATTGTTTCTTTAAATTCTTGTGACATACATAGATACCAAGGGTTGCAAGCTCAAGGGCCTATAAGGACAAATGCTCACCACAAGAATGCAGCAGAGCCCTGGCTGGTGTGCCTTGGTTGGTAGGAGCATTGTCCTGTACAGGTTCGATCCCCAGTCAGGGCACATACCCAGGTTGCAGGTCGATCCCTAGTTAGGGCATGTGTGGGAGGCAACCAACCAATGTGTGTCTCTCTCCTTCTCCCCCTCTCTATTTCCCTTCCTCTCTCTAAAAATCAATTTAAAAAAAAAAAAAAAAAGTGAGAATGAAGTAGGTGATGTAGTCGAAGCTGGTTTGGATCAGTGGTAGAGCGTCGGCCTGCGGACTGAAAGGTCCCAGGTTCGATTCCGGTCAAGGGCATGTACGTTGGTTGCGGGCACATCCCCGGTAGGGGGTGTGCAAGAGGCAGCTGGCCGATGTTTCTCTCTCATCGACGTTTCTAGCTCTCTATCTCCCTCCTTTCCTCTCTGTTAAAAATCAATAAAATATATTTTAAAAAAAAAAGAAGTAGGTGATGTAATAAGCAAAGTAAATCAGACCGTAACAGGAAAATGAGAGTTATGACAAACTGTTGTGGAGTATTGTACCCTTTTCTGCTATACCTTGTTGCAGATCTCCCCATTTTTTAGGAAAAGAAAGTTATTGAAGTATTTCCTGTGATACTTCCTGATTTTACAAACACAGCTTCTGGCCTCTGATTTATATTATGTAACATTGCATGAGTATTCAGTGATCATGTTTTATTCACTAGTAGTTTAATCTGGGAAAATATGAGTAGTAATTTCCTCCTGAGTTTTTTCACTAGAGTGAGTTGAGCTTTCAAACTTTAGCAATTAATAATATCACTAAGCACAGTAAGAAATTGGAATAGCAAGTGTTTCGGAGCAAATAATGCTTAGTTTGGCATGGAAAGTGAGTCAGGAGATCAGGTCAATAGAGAGATTTGGGAAGTTATTGGCAACTAGGTGATAGTTGAAGCTACCGAAGTAAAATAATCCAGAAAAAGTACATGTAAAGTAGGAAGATTAATGAAAGAATCATGAGGAATACCAAGATCCAGGAATATGGGGGGGGGGGGGGGGGGAGAACAGAGGTGGGTAGGAAGGTTCTTGCCAGTAAAGACCAAGGAACGCAGGGAATAGCAAAAAGACTACAGAGAGACAGGAAGAGACCAAGAGATCTAATAATGAGGAGGCCATTTATCCTTTTGTCATTATAAGTTCCAGCAGAGAGATATAAATATTGACTTCAGATTAGATAGTAGGTTAAAGAGTAACTGGATAAAATTTAACTGTTAAGGTGGTTCATTTCTACAATATATTAAGATCTTAGAAATAAATTAGAAAAAAAACAACTCAGAGGGGGGAAATAGACAAAAGACATGTCAAAGAAATATAAACATTTAACTCATTATTAATCTAGGAAATGAAAATTAAAACAGTGATATTTTACACTCACAAGATTGGCAAAAATTAAGGAGCTGATAATATCAAGTGTAGATCAGTAGGAACTTACATACTGTCATGGAAGTATGAATATATATAAAGCTTTAAAAACCAAACCAGTGAGCCCTGCCCAGGTGGTTCGGTTGGTTGGTTGAAGCATCATTCCATGCACCAAAAGGTTGTCAGTTCTATTCCCAATTAGGGCACATACCTGGGTTTGGGGTTGGATCCCCAGGTGGGGCACATGCAGAAGACCACTGATTGATATCGCTAAAAAGCTTGCTTTCTCTCTCACTCAGCATGTCCTTGGGTGAGAATTTTTTTAAATCCATACTTTAAGATAGTATCAGAAGAAGACTTCTACAAAAAAAAAAAAAAAAAGATTACAGGGTGGAGCAAAAGTAGATTTATAGTTGTATGTGAAACAGAGTTTACTCTTGTATTATTATTTGTTAATTATTGTATTATTTTCCATATGAACAACTGTAAACCTACTTTTGTCCTACCCTGTATTTCCATGTTTGACCCCAACACCATGTTTTTATAAAGCTGCAGTGTATTCATGATGCTACATTCTATAATAAATATGGTATACTAGAGGCCCAGTGCACAAAATTCATGCATGGGTAGGCCCTTAGGCCTGGCTGGTGATCAGGACTGATTGGGGCCTTCGGACTGCCAGCCAGAGCCTTCCTTCATTCCACACCACCCCCTGGTGGTCAGTGTATGTCATAGCAAACATGGAACTGGTCTCCCAAGGGGACACTTTGCATATTAGCCATAGATAGATAGATAGATAGATAGATAGATAGATAGATAGATAGATATAGATGATATAGATATAGATACAAACTGAAAAAGCTATAAGCTAACTTTTTTCCCCTTCACTTTGCCATACTCTTCCAAGCTACAAGTAGGAAAACTCATTTATCTAATTTCATTTCAGGTATCTATTTGTCAGACTTAACTTACATTGATTCAGCATACCCGTCAACTGGCAGCATTCTAGAAAGTGAGCAGAGATCAAATTTGATGAATAACATTCTTCGAATAATTTCTGATTTACAGCAGTCTTGTGAATATGGTAAGTTTCTGAGGGATGATACTAAGCCATGATGTTGTGATTCTGCTGATTGATTCATTTACACACAATGAAGGCCACTTTCACGAAGCAGAAAACATCTTAACATAAAGGATGACAGTGACTGTTTCATTTCACTGTTCAATATATAGCATCCAGTTTAAGATCTCGCTTTTAAGACATTGAAATATTTCTAGTTAAAATTTTAAATTTCTTGAGTCTGATATTGAGTAAATAACCAATTTTTTTCTAAGTTCTACTTTGTGGAAACACATGCATAGAAACAGCTTACGCAAGCCCAGATGATTACAAAAGGTGTGTGTTTTTTAGTATTTTTTAAATATTAGGATTCTTTTAATTTGATAGGGGATTAATTAAATGTAGGCTACTGACATAATTTTCATGGTATTATAAAACAGTGAGTTTATACTGTCTAATTACTTTAAAATAAATTTGTCGTAAAGCTAACATTGCTATGTCTGTACTTTTAAGAAAACCTCAAAAACTTCTTAAAAGTTGGAGTGTGGTGGTGAATCTTACTGAAAGTTAAATCAAACTATCTCTTGTCCTTTTCTCATTTTTTTAAAACATCAAATTATAATGTGAAATGAATGTTTGAAATTTTTAACTGGGAGAGGGAAAACTACATTTACAAATGGGAGCCAGGCTTCTTTAAAAGAAAACAAAACTGCCTTACATCTTGCCTTTAGATAAGATTTCAATATAAGTCACAATGAAGTCTGATTTTTTTTCCCCAATTTCTCAAATATGATGGACTTTGTAAATGGGGCCGTTTGGGTTTTGTCGTTTTTTTGTTTTGTTTTTTAAATCTATTCAACTTACATTCTTATTTTAAATAAGATTTTCCTCAATAATGTCCTTCTAGAATTAATTTAAATTTGGGGCCAGGTGGCCTTAATTCACCTTTAAATATCATTTTCTCAGCTTAACTTTTAAAACTGTGCTTGAGATGTACTTTGTCAGATGTTTAATTACTTACTACATTTTACCTAGATATCCCCATGTTGCCTCACGTCCAAAAATATCTGAACTCTGTTCAGTATATAGAAGAACTACAAAAGTTTGTGGAAGATGATAATTACAAGTAGGTTGGATCTTCAAAAGTGGTTTGTATAACTGTCCTCCTTCCGCTCATCCCAATGTATTTAAACATCTAAGGCTTCCATCATATCACGCAAATGCCTAATCCAGCCATATATTTGCAGTGGTAAAGATATTTACATGTATCTCTCTTAATCACTTTACATGATTGAGTCAGTGTTCAAATATTTCATCTGTTTTTTTCTTTGAGATTTTTAATTGATTTTTAGAGAGAGGGAGAGAAATATCTGAACTCTGTTCAGTATATAGAAGAACTACAATGAGAAACATCAATGTGAGCATGAAACATCAATCGGCTGCCTCCTGCATACCCCCTACCAGAGATCAAACCTGCAACCTCGCATGTGCCTTGACCTGGAATTGAACCTGTAACTTTTCAGTGCATGGGATGATGCCCAACCAACTGAACCACACTGGCCAGGGCTCATTTATCCTTTTATTAAAAAGTATTTCATCTTTCTCAGATTGTTAATAGTTATGTTTGATAATCCTAGTTTAAATGCCTTCTTTCTATATTTAAGCATTGAATCTTTATGGAAATTTATCTTTTAATAGACTGAAAAATTAATGAAACCATCTACAAATAGAAAAGTTACTCCTTTTTTAATGGTGATTTTTGACACATCTTTGAACTTATTTGGAATTGTTTTTGTGGTTTTAGAAAATATTGAACATCTTGCCTTTGGTTTGGATATATAGTTATATATAGCACCATACTTACCCTTTATTTTAGAGCAAGTCCTTTATTAAAGATTTTTAAAAGTCATTATTAAAATAGTGTTCATTTCCTTCTCATTATCATCTATAATACTGACCAAGGTATGAGGGAATTTGGAATTAGCCCTTTGTATTTTTCAATGGTATGCTATACATCACAGCTGCATGTTTTTTCTAAATATGAGAGAGTAAAGAACTTATTTCCCTTTAGAATTTGGTTTTTTGCTTCATTTGTTAATTTTTAAAAAATTATGCCATAGTTCCAAAGTATAAAATTAACTTGGTGTCTTCCACCAATATTTTTTCCAATCAGAGGAGCATCAGTTATCAAATTGAAGAGTAGGTTACTTTTCAATATTAATGTATTATATAAAAATATTTTTATCTCATTTGATAGTAACGATCAACTTCCTTGTTCTATAACTTCAATAATTTTTAAAGAATTTTTGCAGAATACAATTAATACCAGTAAAAGGCTAAAATTTCTGAAAAATGCTTAAGAGGCTCAGTCTAATGCAAAACACATTCACAAAACAGATGGTTACAAAACAGTTCCAACAGTACTGGGATAGAGATAGACCTGGCATATTATGGGAGCATATATAAGGGAGGACCTGACTCAGCTTTTTTGTGGGACAAGTGAAGAGAAACCTGAACAGCTTTAGGAGACAGTGCCACATGAGGCTGAATTCGAGCAGGAATTAGCTCCGTGTTGAAGGGTAAGGAGAGGTGTTTAGGGAGTGAATGATCAAACATTGAGTTTGCTGCAGGATTCCAGGCCACTTGGTGGTGTTGGGGCATCAGATGGGAAACTAAAGAAAATAGATTGTTTTTCTAAAGCTGCAGTTGTGTTGCATGAGCATACTAACTAAATGTGTTGAAAATCAGAGCATTTTAAGAAAGGAGCCATTAAAGTAATTGGAGGGGGGGGAGAAGATGTATCTTTCTGATGAAAGAGATTTAAGTAAAAATGATGTTTTATTTATTCAAATGTCTCTGTTTTGGGCAACTTCATCTATATAGGCAGTCATTGTGGATATTACAAATTACATGCATAGGATTTAATCAGGATGAAATTCTATAGAAGTTCTTTCATTTTAATACTGAACATACGTTTTTTCATTGACTCAGCATCCCTGTTATCTCACGGTATTTTTGATGATGATAAAGGCACTGACACTGGCCAGCCTTCATGCTGCACTTTTCGAGGCTCCACCTTCTGTGCTGCTGTCGGTGACGCGCTGCTGCTGCCGCCGTAGCCCTGTGATTCACCCATAGCTTCCTTACTGTTTCTTCCACTTTGCTCTGTGTCAGGAAATGTAGTTACTTTGTTTACTTCTTTGTCTTACACCTACTGGACGATGATCTTCAGGAGGACAGGGCCACCGTGTATGCCCTGGCCTCTTACTATACTCCATGAGGCCAAAGTGCCCAACACAAAGCAGATGCTCGATAACTATTGAATGAATGAGTTCAGTATATCTGCAGCCCAAGTGATTAAACTGCTCTGTTAAAAGAAAAACAGAGAGTTCTGACTAATCATATTCAACACATGCATTTAATACTGTCCAATAATTGGAATATAATTGTATGTAATCCCCTCTTAGGTTACCAAAGAAGTGATACATTAAAGACCTATAATAGATTTATCATTATGAATGTCACTTGTATTATGTAATTTCATAAATCTGTTGACAGAATGCTAAAAATAAAATGGCTTCATTAATTTTCAGGCTAATGCTTAATAATAATAGGCTTTGTGGACTACACTAAAGAATTTTCCACAATAGCTTTAGTATCCTATTTCATGAAATAGTTTCCATTGATATGAATCATAATCTCTTTTTGCTGTGGAATTCAAAACTATGTCTGTGATCCTAAATGGAAGTTAAGTACCAACTAATAAACTGTGACTCAGGGCAGGGATTTACCAGGAATTTTGCAAGCAACCTTTTTTATTTGTATAGACCTATCTTTTGATAAGTTGAATTGGTTGGTTTTTTGTATGGCGAGTTTTAAATAAGGTGTTTTTCAAATGTTCAGTGCTACAGAAGCCATTAGCCTATCTAGTAAAGATTCTAGGACGAATTTACAAAATATGTTTAATAATATATGTGAAAGTTCCTGAATTATTAGGTATCAATATAACTTCCTGTTTAAACCACCTTTTAGTCATTCATCAAATATCTCTAAAAATGATGAATCATTTGGCAATATAGAGGTAGTTTGGGGAGATTTTTTTCTGATTGTAAATGTGACTTTTTAATGTTTATCCCCCTTTCTAATATTTCCTAGAATTACCATAAGATGACCTTAGTATGGAAGAGATAGGAGACTTAACTATTCAAGTTTGCATTCAAAGAAAATTATGTAGCTGAGATTCTTTCATTAAAATGTTTTAGTTCGTTTGTAGGAAAATACATGATTTTAATATTATCTTGTCAAATGTTAGTGATTCTATGTGTTTTGTTTCTTTTTGGAATTCAGGCTTTCACTAAAGATAGAACCAGGGACCAGCACGCCACGCTCTGCTGCCTCCAGGGAAGACTTAGTAGGTGAGTGCAGCTTTTCCTCATTACCGTGATTAATCGGGCACCCTGATGGGAAGGAAAATGCTGCAAAGTAAGTAAATACTTAGCACATTTTATACTGCATGCAACATTTACGTTTAGTATTAAAATATATGTTTTTTTCTGCTTGGGCTTTTTTGGTTTTTAATCAAAAAGTTGTTGTAGTTTGTCAGTAACGTAAAAAAAGATATTCTGTCATATTAACCAATGTTACCCCAATAAATTTAATTTTAAAAAGGGGGAAAAAGATATTCTAATTAAGGAAAATAGATACCACAGACAGGAAATAACAGGTAAATGTTTAAAATATATATATATATATTTTTTTTTTTAAGAATACATTGTGCTAGACTACGAGTATTGATTACATTAGAAATTTCTGTGGTCAAATGGAAAATTCTGTTTCAAATAATTAAAGAAGTCAATTTTATTGAGCTAATTTTTTTTAAGTTTTACTTTAATACTGGGTCAAGTAGTATTAAAATATTTTAAAATATAGTCCTTAATTTACCTATTGCATTATAATGAAGGTATTACATATATACCACACATATTAAAAAATACATAAAATTGAAGACTACTCATTATTTAAGAAATAATTGATAAGTGCCTTTTTAAAATTTTCAAACACAGACCTTGGTAATAACCTTCATATTACTGTATGTTGTAAAAAACATTTGAAGAGCCATCTAATAATGTATGAAGGAAGCGAGAGAACAAGCCATGGCTGTATTCAGTGGGGAGAGGATTCCTGGCAAAGGAAAACATTTCTATCTAAATCTCTTAAGTTTGCTTTTCTTACAGTCATTCTTTGCAAATCTGTGTACTTTGGAGTTTGATTTTTTATCTTCCTAAAAGGAAGCTGGGAGTAAGAGAACAGAAGCTGCCTGTAACACTGAACAACAGAGCTGTGAGCTGGGGCTGGGAGACCCGAGTGCTCGGTCCAGGTGTCATCTGTGGCGGGAGACCCTGAGCCCAGCCCTTTAAAGTCTGCTTCTGCCTCTGTAACGAGGGACATAGTTATACTGCCTGCTCAGTGCACATTGGAGAGCCAGAAATCAGTGGATTTTGTGTTTAAGACTTAGAAAAGAACTATTTTTCACGTTCAGTTAGTTAAGTGGAATTAACATACCTTAAAAGTTAAACCACATTTTATATTTTTACGTTGACCCCTTAGGTCCTGAAGTGGGATCTCCACAGAGTGGGAGAAGTGTGGCAGCTGAAGGAGCCTTGTTACCACACACACTGCCATCCCCTCGGAACCTGATTCCACACGGACATAGGAAGTGCCATAGCCTGGGTTATAAGTCAGCATTTCTCATTTTCTCTTTCCAGTTTTTAAATCATTTTCAGTTGACTTGCTTTCTGTTTATTTTGAAAATAGTGTCCTAATAATTTTTTGTATACTTTTGACTAAAAGCATTTTTTCTTCCTTTACCTTAATTTGGAAATGAACTTTTCCCAACAGTGCCTTCACATTTTGGGGAGATAAATGAGTATCAGAGAGCATCATCATAAGTGAAATCAGGAAAGCACTATACTATTTTACTTTTAAATTGTAACCTTTCTTTGTATCGAGACAATTAATGCTTATCACCATAAATTAGGATTTATATAAATTGTTCTTTTTATTCCTAAATATAAACAGTGGGAAATGATTTTGTGTTTAATTTCTTGAGCTTTGCAAGATCGTTTTTTGTTTTTGTTTGGTTGTGTGTGTTTTTTTTTCAAAACGGGGCCTATGGTTCACCTTTACCATGATTTTTGTGAAAATATAATAGCTATTTTTCCAAAGTGAGCATGAAAACAATTTTTTAATATACTGGAGACTTAAAGCATTCTCTATTCCATAAGTAGATATGGCCTTGTTTCCTAAATACTTAACTATACTCCTAGTTTGAGACCTTCAAATAAATAAAATCTGTGTGTTCATTAGTTATGAGAGTTCAGAAGTTCAGGATAGTGGGTAAATCTTTTACTAGTATTTCCTAGATCTCTCTATAGGAGTATCTTCTATATCCTGAATTTAGTAATAGTAACGAAATGTTTTTCTTTCTTCCCAGTTTCATTCATAAAATGAACACAGCAGAGTTTAAGAGCGCAACATTCCCAAATGCAGGACCAACGCATCTATTAGATGATAGTGTCATGGAGCCCCACGCACCATCTCGAGGCCAAGCCGAAAGCTCCACTCTGTCTAGTGGAATATCAATAGGTGAGAAATATTTCTCTGGAGGGTTCCAGCTTACTTTTAAAATGTGGTGTTTAACCAGACTCAGCTGGGAAAATGCCATTATCTCTACTCCAAATACAGAAAATTTGATGAAAGCAAAGTAGTAATTAGACATAGACTCACCTTACTAGTAGTATTGAAGTTAACAATTCGTGGTGATGCCCTGGCTAGTGGGGCTCAGTTGGTTAAGCGGCATCCCATGCACCGAGAGGTCTTCATAATTATATTGGTCTTAAACTATGACAGAGCTAGTAAGGAAAAAATATACTTATATGCATTTTCTGATCATACAAGGAATTTGTTTACTAACAATGAATTTGAGCTATAAGTAGACATGCAAAAATGTTTTATGTTCATTTATTTTCTTGTCAACTGTATTCATATATATTGTAAAATAAATTTAGCAGCAATAATATTAGAATGAAGAATGAATATGTGGATGTTTACCCACAAATAACATGATTCTCATTTTATAAGCACAGCTATAGAAACAATTTCTAAAATTAAAAAACACAAACTGAAATTCTGATGTTTAAAAAATAGAATAACTTGTAATTTTAGGTAGCAGTGATGGTTCTGAACTAAGTGAAGAGACCTCATGGCCTGCTTTTGAAAGGTAAGAAAATTGTCCATTTGAACTATTCTGAGGTTTGGTTTTTGGTCTGTCTGAAAGTATATGAATAATATAATTCACCTATGACTGTATGATACTTAAGAGGTAATATTTATTACATAGCTCTAAGGAACTATTTGAACTTCCTGCTGGTGGCAGAAATTAGAAGTTGATATTCAAGTCTGGAATTGAGTCTTACCTAGTAAATACATGTCTATTTGGTGGCTTAACACATGTATATAAATTTTAGCACATTTAAAAATACAATTTTAAAAAAGTAATCATGGTCAATGTATCTACTTATGTGTTGAAAAGTAAAATTATTCCCTAAAATCCTGATTGATTTAAGTAACTTAAACATTAAGTAGAATGATCAACTTCCTTCTCTGCTGCTTTGTCAAGGGCAAAATGACTTAGTAAATTTTAAATTATACTGTAAACAAAGCAGTCTAAAGTTTGAATGTAAATTGTCACTTAGTTTGCACAGAGGACACAGATTTATACTGAAACTAGAAGCCTCATGCGTGGATTCCTGCGCGGGTGGGGTCCCTCAGCTTGGCCTCCACCCTCATGCAATCCGGAATCCCTCAGGGGATGTCCTTCTGCCGGTTTTGGGATTGGGCCGAAACCGACAGTCAAGGGAGATAGCAGTGCCGAAGCGGCAGGCAGCCAGAGAGGCTCCCACTGTGGAAGCACACTGACCACCAGGGGCAGCTCCTGCGGTGAGAATGCGCGTCATAGTCATAGCAACTGATCAACCAGTCATAAAGGTCACTTAGGCTTTTATATGTGTATTAGTAGATACTATGCATGCATTCTCCTTTCCTTTTGCTTTAAACTATAAAAGCTGTCATTGGCCTGCAGCAAATGTCATGTTATATTGAACTTCCAAATAAGATGGCCTTAAAAATGTAGCCGAACAGTGCAAATACATGTTTATACTAAATGTTCATTAGAGCTTTTATGTTGTCTCTATTTCATTTCTGCCATTTTCATACTTATACGACACTTGACTCTTAACCAAAGTAGTTGTTCTTTATTGTAACTACTAAGCAAGCTATGTTTCTAAGCAAAAGTGTCATTTAAATTGAATTTTGAATGTCATGTTAAAATTGTTGGAATTGAAATATTTAGTTATCTAACTTCATATCAGTGACTTTTAATAGAAAACAATTATACTAAATTCCTCCTTAAAATTAAACTACATTTCAATTTTGTTGTGTTTAATTGCAAAATTATAACCTCATTCTCAATGACACTTTACAAAGAATTCTCACCATTATGTGATTAAAATTTTACTTGGAAACCCAATATTTTAAAGTACTCCTAAGCCTTTCTAAACTATCAGTATTCCCAAGTTTTGTTCTTTTTGTTTTGGGGGATTCTTAGCAATTTTTTTTGCATATTATTTTTTTTTCCAACTTTTACTTTCAATTTCTTTATTTGGGTTTGCCTGAAATGGGAAAAACACAAGAGTTGCCTCCAGCACATGATGTCTATACAAAATGTCTTAGTTCTTTCCCTCTCGAAAGAGCATAATACCATCATATTGGTTATATAGTGTGTTGTAGTCTTTAGATAAAAAATATTGATGAACAAAATTGTTTCTCAGATTGCTTGAGATATGTGTGAATAACCAGAGTGGTGTGGGTAACCTATTCTCATCCCTGCGGGTTATTTTCAAAGACAGTGTTTAATGGTGTTACCTTCACATCTCAATTCTTTTTTTATGACAAATGCTTTGCTTTGCAGACATTTGCAGCTTTAAAAAAAAATCTATAATAATGCCAAGTTTAAATCAGTGGCTCTTGAAACACTTTGAGAGCAAATTAAAGCTCCCCAGCAAGACTCAGACATGAAATAATAATAAAGAAATAAAGAACTAAGATTTAAAATACTACCTATAGATAATGAACTTAAAAGTAGTACTCTGAATATTAAACATGCCATTTTCTGTTCTTACTTCCTAGACAGACATCAAATAGGTTGTTGCTTCAGTTGCTAAAATAATGCTTTTTATTTTAAATATCTTTTATCAACTTTTGGCTTTTCCCAGGCAAAGAAGTATCAGTGTCTATGTGTGTGTTTATTTTATTTTGTTAAGTATTACATGTCATTTTGGGTAAATATTAATTCATACCATTGTTATCTCTTACTGGCTTTATCATTTGTTTAAGTTGACATGGAAGGAAAACAATGCCTTTATTTATTACTCAGTGTATGTCTCTTGGATTTCTTAGTTTTCTTGGATTTAATAAAAAGGGTAGGAAGGAAAATAAGGTGTTTGGGCAGCATTAATTTTTTAAGTTTACTGGCCACATTGCGTTTAGGTGTCTTCATAGGGACATATAATAAAATGAATTATTTATACGAACCCAGGTGTCATATTTAAACTTGAATCCAAGCACTAAAATAGAAACAAAAGTATTTTTGAAGTATTTTTCAGGTTTTGATAGTACCTGGTTATAAATTGCTCTTTAATTATTTTAGCAGATTTGTGAAAGTGAATGTATATATAAATGTATGATGTTTTCTAAGCAGCTATATTCTAGCATCAATAGTAAAAAAAAACAAGTTTTTAAAATCTATTCTGCATGCTTTTAAAAAGGATCAGAAACGATCACAGACTAACCTTTTGTAAGATTTAGAAAGCTTTATTACACAAAAATTATTATGCTGTTCTAGGTACTGATGATGTTTGTGTGAATTAAAGTGTATGTAATATATACAATTTATAATGGAATCCAACAGGAACAGATTGTACCATTCTCTCGGCCCGATGACACGAGTGGCACGAAATGGCTATCGAAGCCACATGAAGGCCAGCAGGTACAATTCCCCTGCATTCAGGGGCCACAGAACTCCCTCTGGTGTTGGTGATTGGCTTACATGGGTGTGGTCTCACATCATTTCTGTTCTTTCTCAACTAACTGATTCAAAGACTGAAAAAAATGCCTAGGAAACTTTCCAAGATTTAATCTAGAGATTAATTTGAATTATTCTTTCTGATCCACAGTTAATTGCTAAAACTTGCATCTCTGTGTCACATTTTAAAAATAATTCCAAGTTGGTAGCTTTTTAAGTGCACAGGTTTTTCTAATGATGTTAAGTTATTGGATGAGCAATACAAAAATCAACTTGAGCCTATTCAAAGGCTAGAATCAAAGAATTTACTTTGCTGATCAGATTTGCCTTGTGAAAGAACTTGTTTTTTATAAACTGCAAGTCCTGAATTTAGACCAGTCTGTCTCATTAAATAATACTTGTGTATTTAAATGCATGTTCATTCCATTGTTCATCAAGTTAAACTGAGTCCTCTTTCTGCCTGTATTAGCTGCAGAAGAAAGTAAGAGTAATGCATATTGATTCGGGTTTATAGGTTAGTGCTAATCAACAAATTGATAATACAACAAAATAGCCAACTTTAGAAGTGAACCTGTGTCATTTTGATGGTGTCTAATCTCCTCTTATATATCTCCCTGAATATAAATAGCTCTAGCCTGAAATTTCTGATGGTTTTAGGGTTTAAGTCACTTTGAAGACACCTAAATAATCATAAAGGGATAAATTGGCAAATTTTAGTTTTCATCACTGTTACAGGAATTCTGCCACTCAAATCAGATCTCCAGGGAATGACAGATTTTTACTATGGAAATTACTCTTGTTTTAAATATAGGAATTTAAGCCAGTTGGGGAGGCATATTTAAATGTGTGGTTATTTTTAATGGTTTTCTTAAGATATATGGAAAGGAAATCTTGGGTTTGGGAGTAGATTATAATCAAATACTTATGCATTGGAAACATTTAAATGTAATTAAAATTGATTGCAGAAAGCCAATTTAAAAACATGTTCCTGTTGCTTTTTACTACTTTTAACTATTTAGAATTAAATGTGTGTGTGTGTGTTTTCCTTCTTTTCTTTTTTTTTTTTTTTTTTTTTGAGCTTTTATTATTTTTGAGTTTTACATGTTTAAGTACTTTCAGCAAATAAAATCCTCATCTTTCCTACCAGGACTTAAGGTTTCTAATGGGGGAAAGCTTACAGCAGTGATGCAGTGTGGCATGTTAAGAAGCAAAGTCTTAAATGTATTTAATTTTACTAAATTAAATTGCCCTATTCTTTCTAAATTATACTTGTTCAAATATGTAATAAAATGTGTGTTTTTAACCATCTGCTGACTTGAGTAGCTTCCAGATTAACTTATGTAATAGCTTATAAATTTCAGATCAATAAACTTTTATAATTGTCAGTGTCTTCTCATTCTGAATAAAGTAACAACATTTTGAAATAAAGAATAATTACATTTCATTTAAGTACCTATTTGATAACTACCATACATAAAAGCTCGTACCTGTTTTTTCTTTGTTTCATTATTATAGTTCTGCAGAATCAGAAGATTTGGCAGTACATTTATATCCAGGAGCTGTTACTATTCAAGGTGTTCTCAAGAGAAAAACTTTGTTAAAGGAAGGCAAAAAGCCTACAGTAAGACTTTATCATATTTTAACACTTCTAAAAATATATAAGTGTACAGGAGCCTAAGAAATATGAAGACAATTGAAATAAAATCACATATATAGTACACTTGAAGTGATATAAGGTACACATTTGCCTCTCCATGTTTTTTTTTATTTATCTTTATCATTTAAAATCTTACAGATGTCCCTTGCTTCCCCACTGATCATCCCGATCTCACCACCCCACCCCCCATGTTTCTTAATTTAGATTTCAGTTAGATCATACATGTAGGGAGCTTAAAGCATGCCTGTACTTCTCTGCCCTCTAATATAGTTCTTGTTCAAAATTGTTTCTCAGAGAACCTTGAAGTACATACTGTTCAGAAGTATTTTAGTAATAAGTTCAGGAAAATAGAAAAAAGAAAGTTAACCCTCAAATAGAACTCAGTCATTTTGTTGTTGTTGTTGTTGTTGTTGCTGGTTCTAAGTTGTTGAAATCAATAATGCAGGTTTTTTTTCCCACATGAAATAGAACCCAGATATTAAATGTCCTCCAAACCATAATTATGTAAAAAAAAAAAAAGTTTGATGAAACAAAGATTTTCATATGTAACTCAGAAGTAGTTTTTCCCCAACAGCAGCATAGTAGTTTGATGATAAAAGAAAGATTTATTTCCTTATCTCAAATAATAGTATATCTAGTTTGGAATAAACTTTGATGTATATCTGCACTGAAAGTTTTTGAAGATGAAGAGGGAGGGCTTCTTACACTTAAGGGATCTGATTTTTGCTGTTTATATTATAATCCAGAAGCTACACTAGACCAGCTAGCTAGCAAACTAAGAACAGCACAGCAGCTGAGGTTTACCACACCTAACGTGTGCCAGATGCCAGGAATAGAGCAGTGAACAAGCGCCTGCCTCAGGGAGATGGCGTTCCACTGGGAAGAAATAGCCCTTAAAGTGAGGAGAGGAGATGGACAGCGATGGCGTTGGGAGACTTGTCACTAGAGGAGGCATTTGACCGAGGTCTGACTGAGGAAGGTGGGTTAGCCACGTGAAGACCTCACGTTGAGGAGACAAGGTGACTTGTGGAGTTGAAGCGATGACTGGGCAGTAGGTGGATGAGATGAAGTCAGAGAGGCTGGGGCTGCAAGTGGGGATGTCACTTTGGCTCTTCAAAAAGTACAATTCAGAAGTGGAGCAGAGGAGGTGATGGCCAGCGATGGAGATTTGGGAGTCTTTAGCATATGCAGAGTATTTGAAGTATGGGCCTGGTGAGATGGATGATCTATGAAGGAAGTGTTGCTGGAGAAGAAAAGATGGTTGGATTAATTAGGGTTAGGGTTAGGGTTATGTCAGGAGCATGCAGCGAGATGGAAGAATTTGGAAGGGGATGGGTATAGTGCAGAACTGTGTGATACAGACAGAACATGAAGAAAGGAGAAGGGGGACATGAGATGGGGAGGCCATGAAGATACTAGACAATATGAAAAAGCGATAGGATTCTTGATGAGATGGGTAATTATCTGAATGCAAGTACTGGTGCAGTATAGTAAGTGGAAGTGAGAGGAGTGCTTGAGTTAACGATTTCAGGAGTTGTGCTCTAAGGTTAGGCTTGAGAGGGCTGAAGTGGTGTCGTGTGTTCATGTGTTTGTCCTCTCCAGGTAGCATCTTGGACAAAATATTGGGCAGCTTTGTGTGGGACACAACTTTTTTACTACACTGCCAAATCTCTAAAAGCTACAGAAAGAAAACATGTAAGTATTCTTTCTCTAAATTATTAGCATTGTTTCACAGCCTTTTCATGAATGAGATTTATCCAATTTTCTGTTCTTTCATAACAGTTCTTTTTTTTTTGTTACTAAAGTGTAACTTTAAAAAAACTAGAACCCAGAAAAAAAAAAGAAGAAAAAAAAAAAAACGAGAAAAGTGCCCTAGCCAGTTTGACTCAGTGGATGGAGTATCAGTCTGTGGACTGAAGGGTCCTGGTTCCATTCCAGTCAAAGGCACATGCCTGGGTTTTATCCCTAGTAGGGGGCGTGCAGGAGGTAGCCGATCAATGATTTTCTCTCTCCATTGATGTTTCTATCTCTCTTTCCCTCTCCTTTCCTCTCTTAAATAAATAAGTAAATAGATAGATAGATAGATAGATAGATAAAAACTAGAAAAGTAACAAGCATGCTAAGAATATATTTTGCATATATACTGTATATAGATATAGATATAAAGAAGTGTCTGATAACACTTGGTTTAAGAGAATACCCCTATCACATTGTACTTATACCCCTATTACATTGTACATCTTTTTTTAAATATATTTTTATTGATGTTAGAGAGGAAGGGAGAAGAAGAGAGAGAAAGAAACATCAGTGATGAGAGAGAATCATTGATTTGCTGCTTCCTGCATGCCCCACACTGGGGACTGAGCCCGAAACCTAGGCATGTGCCCTTGACCGGAATCAAACTTGGGACCCTCCAGTCTGCGGGCTGATACTCTCTCCACTGAGCCACACTGGCCAGGGCTACGTTGTGCATCTTAAACTTACACAATGTTGTAAGTCAAGTATATCTCAAGAAATTGGAGGAAAGATAACATCTGTATTAAAATGCAGATGTGTTTCTATAAGAAAGGGGTAAGGGGGAGCACAGTAACAGACGAAACAACTTAGATGAACTTACCGTTCCACTAACAGTCCTGCTCTTTGGGATTGGACAGTGGGACAATTAGGTGTTGGTAAAGAGTTGACGCTGAGAAAGATCTGGAAGGCAGGAGAGTATCTCCGTGGGGGCCGAATTTAGTCATAAAAGGCCCAGAGCACGCCTGACCAGCACAAAGTCACAGGTCTCATGTCTCACTGGGAGAGACGGAAGACATGCCCCCTGACACGTCAGCTTTGCTGAGGATGAGCCATCAAGATGACCACTAGTTGTCTTTCTGTCTCTCAGTTCAAATCCACATCAAATAAGAACGTGTCTGTAGTAGGATGGATGGTGATGATGGCTGATGACCCAGAACATCCTGACCTCTTCCTACTGACTGACTCTGAGAAAGGTGAGTCTTTAGAGAAACCAGGGCTTATAGGGAACCTTGTAATACGCCAAAGCCTAGTTTCACAGGGTTTATACTTGGCTGGGGGAAGATTTGTGTAATTTTATTTCTTGAGAAATATTTTTGTCACATAATATATACTAATGAGATTAATATTTGTAATTATCAGTATTTATTAAATGCTTATTTAATAAGCTTATGGAGGGAGCGAATTTGAGAATCTATGGCTCACTGTTGCTTTAAAATCTCAGTGGTTTGCCATATACGTAATACCCCTTCATTTATACCCAGAATTAAATTGTTACTCTTAAGTTCTAAATGTGGCAGAGGTTTTCCTTTAAGTGATCTTTATTCCATTACTTTTAATCAAATTAATTGCTTATTTGACTCAAAGCACTTTCCAAAGAGGTATAATTTTAATTATAATACTTTGCTCATAAAATATAATAGAGATGTTGGAGGGTGGCTGTAGAATCATATGCCAGCGGGGCCTGCCTCGGGTGGCAGTCAGACAGTCCCAACGTGACTGCGGCTCCTCCTCAGAAGCCTCTGGCTGTGGAGAAGCACCGCAGGAAGCCAGCCGGGAGACGCCTTCTCTCTGCCCATAGCTCACAGCGGAAATGCAGCAATACCTTTATGGGCTGTGCAATCATATTTTGACCTCTGTTTATTCAGAATGTATTTCATATCAACAGATAGTGTGCTTTTAGGGTATTATGAAGTGTTTTAAGTGAAAATGTAAGCAAAATATGTTCAACACAGAAAAAATAATAATTGTGGCAAACTTCATTGTAGAAATGCTTTCTATTTAGTTTGATCTGGTGTCTGCATCTCAGTTCAGCCAGCAAAACAGTATTTTAATTTGAATAATTACATATGTGGCGAAGGCAAACAATTGCTTCTGAAAGTGAAAAACTTCTTTGAATGTTAAAATCTCAAAAGTTCTATAATGTCTAATTATAGATTAGGCTCCTGGACCATTGACTGTAGTTATAAAGGAAAGTAGAAGCTGGTAAGAATTGGGAAATAAAAAGAACTTAGGTCAATGAAAAAAAAAGGAAGTAAAGCTCAATTTAAGGCAGTCTGTATAATACATGAATTCATTATTTCCTCAGTTTATTACCATAATACATAGAACCATATAAAAATCCTTATGTGCCAGTCTTAAAATAAGATTTACTAAATATACACAATACAGATGAATTTCTAATTTTCTAAGAGAAAAAGGTGCCTTCTTATATTTTCCCTGAGAGCCCTCAATAGACTGGAAAGCTATAATAATTTTTAACAGATGTAACTAAAAACTAAAAAGGTAGCTGATATTGCTGTTAGCCAACTAATCCTTATTCACATTAAATAGCTAGTGTCTGAGTATTAGACACTAGCTGTTAAAGCTGTGACCTGTCAAAATCTCACGTTAACATTGCTAATACACCATCTAAGCAGTATTGAGAACTGGCATTCTGCACTCTCATCCACAAGTACAAATCTAAAGAAGCCAAACAAATTTATTTAGGTGTAGTTTACACTAATGAACAGTTAGGGAGATGCATTTACTTCTCTTCCAATTCACAAACAGCAAAACCACGACTTTCTCCGTAAGGGACGTCACATGAATGTAGCAGAGAGAACTGTTTGTGTTGGGAAATCAGGTGTTGGAGAAATAGACTTCTGAAGTGGAGAACTCTAGTCTTATTTTATTTTGCTTTGGTAGCTGGCAGAATTATTATATGTTAGAGTCCTTAAGCTTTTATTATTTTCCCTTTGTTTTTTTATGATTTTAGGAAATTCATACAAGTTTCAAGCTGGCAATAGGATGAATGCAATGCTGTGGTTTAAGCATTTGAGTGCTGCCTGCCAAAGTAACAAACAACAGGTGAGCATTTCTCTTAATCCCCAAATAGTCCCTAACGGGCATGTATTTAAAAGTTCCAAAGAGAAGTAGACTAATTTTCTGAATGGAATGGGGAAATATGTTTTTATTCTTATTCTTTTTCTTGTTGACATCAGTCAACAAAGCATGAAATTCACATTTTAGAGAGATGGGCAATAAACAAATGAACAAATAACAAACTTTCAAATAGTGAAAACTATACAAGCAAACAAAATAGAATTATGTGATGCAGAGTGATGGGAATAGAGACAACTTTACATAAAAGGGAGAGAGCAGCAAACCTCTCCCTGAGGAGATGACATTGGCATGAATGACAAGAAGGAACCACCACGCGAAAATTAGGGGGAACAGCGGGTGCAAAGACCTTGAAGCTGCAATGAGCTTCAGTTGTTCAGAACAAGAATATGTAGCCCGGACTGGTAGACTATAGTGAGAAGCAAGGGAATGTAGTTCTAGAGGGGCTAAAAAGAGGGGGCACTTCAAATTAATAAAATTCATTCTTATTCATCTTTATTTGTTCTACTAACAGGCTGATGTGGGTTTCTGTGGTTGCAATGAATCCCAAAACCATTTGGATATTTTTGTTTTTATTTTACTGAAACAAAGGCTTTCAGCTGCAAAGGCGAATAAATTCAGTGTTGTTTTCTCCAATCCCTATTACAGGTTTAAGTTGAGACACAGTCTCGCTGGTTTGATAGAGTACATTAGCCTGCAAACTGAAGGGTCCCAGGTTCGATCCCCAATAGGGGGCATGCGGGAGACAACCAGTCAGTGATTCTCACTCATCACTGATGTTTCTATCTCCCTTTCCCTTCTCTGAAATCAATAATATATACTTTAATAAATAAAGTAGAGCAACAAATTGGTTGAAAAGATATAAACATAATATTGATGTTTCACTCCTACATATAAAGATTAAAAAAAAACTTTTAAAAAAAGATACTTTAAGGGCGTCACATATATGTGATAGAATGCAATATACAGATGATGTACACTGAATTGCCAGATTATTATGAACTCTGAATGCATAATCTGGCCACGCAGTGTGTGTGTGTGTGTGTGTGTGTGTGTGTGTGTGTGTGTGTATTAGAGGCATGAATTCGTGCATGGGTGGGGTCTGGCCAGCCTGGCCAGGGGGAGGGGACATTGGCAATTGGCCAGCCTGCATGCTGGTCAAACTCCTGGTTGAGGGACAATTTGCATAGTAGCCTTTTATTATGTAGGGTATACAGAGTGGCCAGATTATTATGCATTCAGAGATCATAATCTGGCCACTCAGTGTATATAGAATTGTACACTTGAAACCTATATAGGTTTATTAACCACTGTCACCCCAATATATTTAATTTTTTCAAAAAGATACTTTAGGTCAGAAAGATTTTAACATTTGGGCTCACTTAAAAAGAAATAGTACTTTGAAAGACAACTTTTAAATGCTACCACTTTGTGAATGGACCTACAGGGTAAGACAAATACCATAATTTCACTTATATGTGGAATCTAAAAACAAAAGAACAAATAAAACAAATAGACTCATAGGTAGGGAGAACAGACTGACATGTGCCAGAGGGGAGCTGGGTGAAAACAGTGAAGAGATTAAGAAGTACAAATTGGTAGTTGCAAAATAGTCATAGGGATGTAAAATACCTCATAGGGAATGTAGCCAGTAATACTCTAGTAAGTATGGACAGTGCCAGTGAGTACTAGAAATATTGGGGGATCACTTCATAAGTTATATAAATGTCTCATCATAGGGGTGTGCACCTGACACCAATATAATAATGAACATCAATTGTAATTGAAAAATCTATACTAATAAAAGGCTAATATGTTAGACTGGATAGACCGAACATCCTTCCAAACAAAGCCACAGCGGCTGCAAGGGCTGCATAATAATCTGGCCATTCAGTGTATATCGTGCATAATAAAAGGCTACTTTGGGTGTCTGCAAGGGCCAGCAGTGGCGGCAGCAGCAGTGGGTGATAGGGGTGGTGCCTTCCCCTGATTGGCCCAGTTGCCTCCTGCAGAGGGAGGCCAGAGGCAGCAGCGCCGGTGATGGAGGTGGCACCTTCCCCTGATTGGCTCGGTCACCTCCCACAGAGGGAGGCCAGATTGTGACTTTTTTTTTATCACAAGCCCTCAGTAGGACATCCCGAGGGCTCCCAGACTGTGAGGGGGCAGGCCGGGCTGAGGAACCCCTCCTATGCACAAATTTTCATGCACCAGGACTCTAGTATTTTAATCAAAATAATGTTGTTTTGTAATGCTCATATTTTTTAGGTTCCTACAAACTTGATGACTTTTGAGTAAAAGCCTAAGAAAGAAGAGAGGTGAATTGTTGCTCCACAGAGGGAGCGAGGCCCTGGTGGACCAGCGCCAGCAAAAACCAGTCCTGTGCCAGGGGAGCCGAGCCTCCCTTTTGCCTCCGGATTCTGAACCAAAAAAGCACTAATTCTAGGGAATGAAGTGAGACATTCCCAGAGAACCAATTGCAGTTGCAAAACAAACTGCCATGGACCACGCTTCTTATCTCTGAACTGACCTGTGGAAACCACTGCCTTAAAAGAACGCAAGGAAAACCAACATCAAACACCAAATAGTGTGTGTGATCTCCTGGCGGTGCTGTGCTTGGAATAGATCGTAGCTCATTTGCATTTCTTTTAACTCTGTATTAATTTTGGAGGGGGGAATCGCCTTTTTCAGATAGACTTTAAAGAGGAAAAACGTCATTCTCATGGGTTACACGAGGAGCTGGTTTTGAGCCGGAGGGTAAAGGTCTGACAAGCAGCACTCTGCCAGCAGCCTCCCACAAGGTTCGTTTGTCCTCCGTTCGCCTGCGGCCTCATGCTCTCGCGGCACGAGTGGAGGGACTAGAAATGTTGTCATGTGAGTTGTTGGGACTTTGTTTGGGACTTAGGGAGGGATCTTGTTTGGTTTTAGATGAGGAGAGATGTTTTTAAACACTAAACTTGGGAGACTTAGTACTGTATGGGGAACACGACTTCCTGCAGGGGCATAAAGGCCGAGTGTTCACCTGCCAGACACTTTTCACAGGGGCTCCAGACGACATGGTTGTTTCTAACTGTGTTTAAGGTTAGACTCTATATGAATTCATTGCTGGGCCACAGATCTTCGTAGTGGGGATTGCATCCCAACCTAAATTTCCTTGAGATTTTATAGTCATTACTTTTCCACTTTAGTTGATTTCTCTCTTCTACCAGTCACAGGTGATTTTTATCCCCAAGGAGATAAATTGATGTTTTCCTTTACCTTGTTTATTGTGCACAATGCCAGTTGTTGTTGTTTTTTTATTATTATTATTCATTTACATTATTTTTTGCTCAATATGAGATTCAGGGTCACATTTGTTTAAAAGAGATTCCATATATGTATGTATTCATTTAATTCTAAGGCATACAAAGTAATTTTAAAGGATAAAAGATAAAAAGTTGAGATTCTGAGAATTTAAAGTATCAGAACTCTACTTATACAACTTTTCTTTATTGCAAAACATTTTCCTGAACACTTACTATTATGTACAGGTCCCTGCCATGAAATCAGTAGTTGACCAAGTAGTTTTATGAGGGCTCTTCTATGCAGTAATGCATTTAATTCCAAAATAAATGTTGACTCACTAAAAAAAATAAGAAGAAGATTGAAGATAAGATGCCTTAGAGTTTTAACAAAAATTGGCATTTGAACAAAGGCTACGTTGGATGTTATAAACTCATGAGGCATCATAGGTTTCGGCACTGGCCCAGAGTAAGAACGCCTCTGTCTGATACCTTCTACCAGGCTTTAGGCCTCACATAAAATCACTTGCATTTGTATTCTTAGAAAACATTGTACTTTTTTTTTTTATCATAAGTATTTCATTCTTGAATCTATGAAACTTCAATAGAAAATATTGTCCACAGACTAATTAGCTAAAAGTCCATTCAAAGGGAAGTGGAAGAGCTTTCTCTGAGCACTGAGTTTTTTCCATTTAGATCTGTTTCCAGAGGACATGAAGAGTGCAGATACTCCTCTCAAACAGCACAGTTAGAAATGCCTTGGTTTCTGGCTTTGTGGGAAGCAATGACAGTGTTGCCTGTGCTGAGTGATGTTTAAATTAACGGCCTCCTGCGCTTGACCCACGTTGGGTGCACGGAGGGACACCTCTTGCGGAGCCAGCAGTATTACTGTGTAGACCTTGCACATCTCACTTTTGTTTTGCATTTTTTTTATTTCTTTATTTCTCTTCAGAAAGAAATGTTTTTAATAGTGTATGTGCTTTTTAAAAAATACTATGGATGAGAACCCTGTGGATTTTTTTTATTATTATTATTGCTTTGTTTGTTTGTCGTAAATAAGCTACAGTAGATATGTCTCAGAGGAGCCACGTCTGTGGAGGTGAGCACCTGGAAGTCAGAGCTTGATGTTTTGCCAAAAAGGGAGCTAGCCTGGAAGATGTGTTTGATGTTTTCAGCTCTAAACATGAATGGATGCCTGCACAGACGAAGAATAGTTTTCAATTTGGTAAACAGCCCTTTTGTCTGAAACTCTTAACATAAGTGTGCATAGAAGTTGCCATTGTTTTTTGTTTTGTTTTGTTTTTTTTGTTTTTGTCTTCAAATTTATTCATTCAAAAGATTAGTCATTGCTTTTTGAGATTATTTTAGCATTTGAAGCAAATGGAAACCAGTTAGAAAAGTGGATTAAACTGCTGTTAAGTGAATCTTTTGTTATTCACCAAATCATATCTGATGATAATTTCATGCAAAGAAAGTTTGTCACCAGAATGTTTATTAGTGGGATGATAAATTCATTTCTCTCTGATTAGGCCTGCCCTCTATAAATTAGTAAATTGGTGACTCATAAGCTTGAAATTTCCGTCAGTATTAAGTTCTTCTGATTCTCTCCTAGCCTAAAAGAGCTCATAGAAACAAAAGTTTAAATTTAAGCTGGTTTATGTTAAGATTAATGGTTGGTGTATTATATGGCCCAGGATAGAAGAATATAATATTGTCCAGAATACAGTTGAGACACAACTCATGTAACAGTTTATTTGAACAGAAGTTTATTTTTCATATGGAAGTAACATACCAGTTTTTAAAATATAACTATAAAAATAACTGCATAATGAGCACTATTTTTGGTTTTATGCCCCCTGTGTGTTTGGGCTCTGCTTATTTTTTCAGAGTTATTTTTTTACTGTAACCTCCAAAATGTAAGAATTGAAAGAGAACTGATCAAAGACACCTTCCTATTTCATTTTCTTTGCTGTGTAAATGTCATTTGTGTAAACATTACCAAAAGGGATGGAAACAACTTGAGTTTGAATGCTTTTTCTCCCTAGGCCTGTGCTTCGATGACAAATGTCTTTTTTGTGTGGGAAATGCCATAGACCATTGCACTACCTTCTGTGTGGACTGTTCTGGTATTCAGTCTTTCTGTGCATCAAGAGTTACCATGTTTATAGCTGCAAAGTTTTTATAAGTGGCTTTATTCCTCTTCTAGAAGGTTTATAAAAGAGACCAAGGAGCACCATAGTTATGGAAGGAAAAAATGTTTACAGTGTATAGTGTACACACTCTGTAGATTAATTGGAACAGGAGCCCTCTCAGGGCAGGCTGGTCTGTTGATCTGTTGGGATTACTAAAATTTACCTGGCAAATGACTTGAGCAGAGGTCTTTTTTCCTCCCCACTCCACCCCCCCTTTTTTAGGTTAAATTTGTAAGCTCTATGTCTTTGCTACTGAAAACAAAACTGTAAGGCATCATATTAATTCTGGGAATCAAAACAGATTTAATCCATCTACTTCTGTAAAGATGATATCCACTGTTGACATGCTTCCTGTTTTTTGAGGCACATTCCTTCACAACCAGTTTTCAAACTGCCACGTTATCTTCTGCAAATAAGGGGCGCCAGTGTTGCTTAGCAGAAGAGAATCTTTCATAACAGAAATCCTCTGCTTCAAAGTCTTTCAAAATAATTGGATCCCTTTTTGGGAATGAAGATGCATTCGCCCGTGTCAGGGTGGAACAGTATTAGCGCTGCTGATGCATGAACAGATGGTGAGGTTTGCCTGACTTTACAGATTTGCTTTTATTTTCTCTGTTTTTATAGTTTTTCTTTCAAAGGTTTTACAACCAGAGTGATACTTTGTTTTTTTTTCTAAGCTTTCAGAGACAAACATTGTTATTTAATCACATAGATGATAATTATTTTTCATGTGAAGTCAGCCTTTTCAAAATGATTCAAGTATTTTTTGCCTTTTTCTCCCCAAAAATGGCTTGTGTCTAAAGTGACTTTTTTTCCTCTCTTTAGAGAATTCTAATGAAAGAGATTCTGTGTTTGAACTCTTAAGCTTATTGAAAGCAGTTTCATTTCACAGTATCTCAAGTTGTAGTATGGGGAAAATTTGATCAGTGCCTTATCAATTTGAAGACCAATTATAGGCATTGAGTATGACAGTAATCATTGGCCCTCTTCCTCCTTTGTTTCAGGAGTGTGTGCCCCTCTCTCCACCAGCTCACTCTGTCTCACATCCCGTCCAAGAAAGTCTGTATAGATATTCCTAGGTAATTGTTGCAGTCCTTGGTTTTGAGTCTTTTTAGACAAGCTTCCTTCCTGCTCCTCTCCTTCCAGGCAGGAGATTAAAAATAAATCCACCCAAATCGCCCTTTGGATGAGCACTCTTAAGAACAACTTGGAAGAGCACCCATCACAGAGTTTGTTTATTTTGTGTTGATGTTTTCGGTGGTTGTTGTTGTTGTCTTGAGCATACACTTAAGGCCTTTCAGGAAATCTCTAAAAGAATATGACACAGCCAGGAAGATGTGTTTGGGTTTTATGGAAGCTATTGAAGCCTTGTGATAAGAATCCTTTTGGTCAGAAATGAGGTTTCGTTTGGTTCATTCTTATATTTAAATAAGACTGAGAACAAACAAGTAGTCACTTAACCTACCAGTTATTGTTCACCTGAAAACATTATGATGGGAAAGTGAAAACAGCTCCAGATACAAATTAAAGGGAAGTTAAAAGACTAAAGGAAATTTCCCAGGAAAAGCGAAGCTTGGAAACACTTTGCTCCTCTATGATTACTACTGTTGTCCAACTGAGTCCGGATGCTGTTTTCACAAATATGAAAGGATTCGTCTATTCCAGAGGAGGCAAGTAGACATGGTCTTCAAAGCCACATGAAGGGTTAACTCGCTGGTCCTTGAGGGTTAATAATTAGCAGAATTTAAATTTTGATCTGGTCATTTAGACTGCAAAGTAGTGATGAGATTTGAAGAATACATAATTAGAGTGCTTTGAGATTAAA